ACAGCATGCTGCACTTCTGTTTTGTTAGCTAAGTGGCCTCAACTGAAGGTTTATGACTCCCCGAGCAAGACCCTTTGAACGTGCTCCTTTATTATAGGAAGTAGGATGCGGGCAGGGAGGCTGTGGCCATGATAGTGTCAAAGAAGGCCCCACTAACTATTCTTTGGGTGGAAATCAGAGTGGAGTTGGCCTTGTTCAGGATGAGATCTAGCCTGAGGAAGGTTCCCTGATTATGGATATGTCATCTAGGACCTGAGAAGGGGAGGAAGCCCCTATGAGCCAGTCGTCTAAATACAGGTACACCTGAACCCGTCTTTTGTGCAGGAACACGGCCAGAACTGCCATGCATTTGGTGAACACACCGAGGGGGGTGGGGGGCAGAGAGAGGCCAAAGGGAAGTTCCATAAACAGATAATAATCTTAGCCCACAGTGAACAAGAGGAAACGACTGAGAGGGTCCACAATTGAGATGTGAAAATAAGCATCTTTGAGATCAAGGGCAGTGTACCAGTTTCCCAAGGCTAGGTAATGGATGATCACCATCAGCCAACATCATCTTGAACTTTGACTTTACTATGAAGTCATTCAGGCCCCTGAGGTCTAATGTAGGATGAAACCCGGCTTTAGGAACAAGAAATAGTGAGAGTAGAACCCCCTGCCTCTGTAGTCCATCAGGATCTCTTATACAGCTCCAAGATTGAGGAGCTGTTGTACCTCTAGCCATTAGAGATGCTTATGAGAGGGGCCTTGAAGAGATGCTTGAAGGAGGAGGAAGTTGTGGGAGGGGAGCAGGGTCGGAACACGATGGAATATCTTGTACGTAACCCGGGGACTGCCTGTATTCACATTTGATACATGCCCTGTATCAAAGGGAGGGAAGGAGACACAATGGGTGAACCCCGACCCAACAGGAACTCCAAGCAGCCAAAAAACTTGAAACAACTGGAACAAGGAATTTGAAACTTGGAAACAAATGAACTCTAATGAGGCACTAACTATGGATACCATTGATATCTCGATTGCTAGCAATTTTGCTTGCACCAATGACAGTCATGAGCAGCAAAAAGGAAGTGAGGGAGTGGAGGGCCAGCAGGGGTATATATGCATGGATATAGCAGCACTACTCCAGGGGCTCCCTTGCTGGCCTGCTGGGTACCCTAAGGGAAAACTCCAACAATCAGTGCATGTGGTGTGCACACACATACATGGAATGGACATGGGCAATCATTAAAGAAGAATCTACTTTCTCTCCTATCGCTTCTCCCCTTCCATTTAACATTGTTCTATTAATTGTGTTTATGTCTGACTAGTTATGAGCAGGAGCACAATTGAAAGAGACCAAACCTGCTAATCAAAATAGTTTGAGAATTAGTGCCTCTCCTACAAAAAACAAAATACCTCCCTCACATACTATTAAGCTAGTTCTCCAAAAGACTAAGTTAAATACTTAGATTTAAAAAAAACATCTTGTGCTCAACTAGATTTAGTGGGCAAATATGGGAGAGGGGAACTATGCAAGGTAAGTTCTTACCACTGAGTAGGAATGTATGAGACAAGTGAAGCAGAACAGAAGAGTGGAATTTCCAGAAGAATAAGCAATTCCTTTAGATTTTCACCACTCCAAGAAGTCTAAGGGAGCTTGCTGCTCTTTTACCCACTTGGAATGCTGAACTCTGCACAATTAAGCTTTTACACTACAAAGCACGCTTAGCTTTCAGGTTAAAAAAAAGCTTCAATTGGCTTCATGGCCAGAAACGGCTTCTGGAGATGGGATGAGAAGATGAAGGACTAATTCAGGAACCTTAAATAGGTTATATCATTCAAGATCAGGGCTAGTAAGTTACAGGAAGTTTATCATAACAGTGAAAATTTCTAGCTTTCTCTACTATATATGAGTACGTTTATTAGAGGTGGCCAAGAAGAGGTTTCTCCTTTCTCAGTAGAAAAATCTATTACCAGAATTACTCAAAATAAATCTCTAAAATATAACTGAGTGTAAAGTGAGAATCACAGTCCAACAGCAAGGAGTGTGAATTAATTAGCGACTGGTACACATGGTTGAAGCAACTCTGTTTTGAGGTCACGTTTAATATATCTGAGGCATATGCCAGTAAGCCCAATGCTCACCCAGGCATTCTATTAGAGCAATGTGACATTTATGCCTGACTTCCAGATATGCATTGCATCCAGAAAATAGTTTTTCCATAATTTGCTGAAGTCCCAACTACTGGGTTTTACTTCAACGTGATTAAAAAAAAAAATCACTTGGGGGGGAGGGGGAAGATATTTTGTTAAGGCACTGTGGGGTGCAGCCAGAGAAGACATCTTAGGGGTGCTTCCCCGTGTGCTTACAAAGCCACTTAGTTGTCTCCTTGCTTACTGGGGCTTCTCACCACGCTGTTCTGCTAGGTCAGATCTCCTGGTTTCCCCCAGCCAAGATACAGAGCCAAAGTCACTGCCCTCTCCCTCACCACCACGGAGGGGCAATATAGACACTAAAACTCGTCAGGTCCAAGGAAAATGCAGTTTTGGGCCCAGCATCCAAGGATACCACTCCCCAAATGGGATCAGAACTCCAAATAAATTATTCCGGTAAGCCCCCTTTAACAGTGAAAGGAAGATGTACACACTGATTGCTCTCCCAGGTAACAATTATTTACACTGGCTTAAGAGTAAATAAAAGTGATTTTATTAAGTGCAAACAGTAAGATTTAAGTGGTTGCAAGTGAAAACAGGTAGAGCAAAGCAGGTGAGAATTTTGTCTTTACATTCCATCCTTCCATGGAAAATTACCTGGACAGACATCTAGTTGGGAGTGATCACATGACTTCCTAAGACCAAACGCTGCTTAGACTCAAATGACAGAAGAAGCTGTTTACAGGTAATCACTCAAGACACTGTGGAAAAGACCCTTGATTGCTTCCATTTGCACATTTAAAAACATTCCATACTTCATATATTTAACTTTACAAACAATGATACATACACAAAAATAAGATACAGATCCAGCAGATTGAGACATTAAAATTGATAGGTTAGAGGAGGTATTTTGTCCAAAGCATCTTCAAGTTATGCATATTGGTATCCATAAGTCAATGTCATAAAGCATGGGACGGATGAACTGTCACAGCAATCTGAAGTTCAGGATCTGGACTGTTACCAGGCTTCCTTGGGCATGTCACTTAATCTACACCTCCCCTTCCCCACATCTCTAACGTAGGGAGCAATAATTATTTCCTGCCTCAAAGGATTGTTGAATAATAAGTGTTTATGAGATATCCTGATTCTAGGACAGATTCCTTTCTGATTCCAAGCTTCCACTGCATCCCGACTAATAGTGATTCCATGCAACAGTTGCTACAAGATGACACTCAAACCAATGGCAAGTCAGAATGCAAGACAGCCTAATTCCCATTTTAGGCACCAAGGAAAGAACTCCGCATATTGGGTGTAAGCACGTTTGAAAGCTTCTTCTCAGTTGAATGGTTTCTGGTGCTGAGCAATTAAAAATCTGGCCCTTACCAACTAGAACCCTCAAACAACAAAACATTCCACCATTCATCCAAGCCTAGAATAAGATAGACAACTTTACCTCATTTCTATCGTCACACTGTCTCTGCAATACGTCTGTAGTTCTCTGCGACTCCTCATATTTAAGTTCTGTATGAAGCAAAGACAGAATTAAACTGAGTCATGCTCTACAACAAGAGCATACTGGAAGAATATTAGATGTGTACCTGGTTGTACTTCGTCTTCTGAATTTGGGATTCCCAAAGCCAACAATCCAGACTGCTCTCCAAATTTTTGTTGCAACTCTAATATTTTCCTATCTCTGTCCTGAACGAAGAAATGCACTGATTTTAACAAAGAATATACACCTTTGACTGGTCTTCAATCACGTTGACTATTGTAAATGTTGATTATACTAAACATGGGTTTTAGAAACAGATGCTAGTTGAAAGTTTACTTTTAAAGCTGATCTCACTGAATCTTCTCTAGAAATTTGTGCCAGTCTTGCCAAGGCAAAGGTGTACTGCACTTAGAAGTAGATGCATGTTCAGGGTGCTGGAGCTAGAGATCTTTGTGGCATGGGGCAGGGCAAGGGCCTGTCAGTGGGCCAGATCTGGACCACCTAGCTCTTCTATGACCCACATAGCAGTTCCCGGCTCCACTTTTTAACACATTGCCTGGGTGCCGGGGACACGGGAGCCCTTTCAACTGCTTCTATTTAAAGGGCTCGCACGAGGAAAACAGGCGTGAGCCAGGACAGCTGATTCCCGACTCGGACCCAGTCCCCCTGTTGTGCTTCAGCCTTTTAAATATATTAAGAGTCTCCAGAAGCAGGCCCTGTCTGCAGGGGTCCCAGAGTGGAGCTGGTCCCCCTGGCATTAGCAGCCTCTGTCAGCAGTCAACTCTGGCTGCCAAAAATAGGGACTGTTCCAGCAGCAGCTTCTGTCCATCGCTACTCTTGCCACTGAACAGGAGCTGCTGCCAAAGCAGTCCCTGCCTGCGGCCAGCCTGGGCCCAAGCCAGGACCGAGCAGTCCGAGCTCATGCCAGTTCAGGATGCTACGCCTCTGTATCTTAAATGTAGTAAAAGCCTGGTGGCTCTTACTATATTTAAAATGCAGAGTCACAGCAGTCCAGAGTCAGTGGGGGCCGCGAGTGCTTGGTTCCGGCTTCAGCCAGTTCCCACTGTGACTCTGTGGAGGGTCTCCTTATTGACTAATCGTGTAGTCAATACCAATTGTATCAACCACACGCTTTAGCCAGATAATTGCAATTTAACATCCTTATGCTGGACATGTATGCAGACATGTATTCCACTTAGATGCATCTACTTGAAGAATACAATTTAGTGTAGGTTACTGTTACTAAAACTCAAAAGTCTGTCTCCTTTTGTGTTTTATTAAAAAGTTGGATTTCTTACTATGGAACTGCCAACCTCCTAACCATCAACTGCTTCCCTCTGGACATTCAGAATCAAGAGCTGCTACGAGAGCTATCATTTCATTCATGACTCCATCTGCTTTTCCTCTACACAAACTCCCCTTTAAAGACCAAAAGTGAAGTCTTGCTCCCACCTCTTACTTTCAGTCATGGGATCCCATCTTAATTCCTGACTTCTACACTGTAACTCTCATAACCCCCAATCCTTTGACCCAAGGAGGAAGGTAGCAATATATTGCAGATCAATTGCATGCAACCTGTAGCCCATGGATTCCACCTGCGGCCTATGCACCCCCTGTGTGTCCGCTTTGCTCACTGGGACACTGGAACCTGCACTTGAACAGTCATGAATCAAGCCCTGGGAGGAAGGGAGAGAAACGGGGACAAAGTGCCAATCAGCAGGTTTGAGGTGTTCAGCAAGTGCTGGAAGGGTGGGGGAGGAGTAGGAAGTGCAGTGCTCTGGGGCCCCAGTACAGAGGGATGTGATGCAAGGGGACAAAAAGGGATTGGGGGCCACAGGTTGCCCACCACTGGAAATCACGTGACCTAGTGAGATGAAGGAGGGCCACAGGTGCAGCCCAGTCACTAGTCTTGATTGCCAATTGCTATTCTAAGTCTTTCCTTTGGTCACAGCTTTGCTCAAATCCCACCACTTAGGTGTTAGGTGTTCGGCACATAGGATAGGTCTACAGCACAATAAGACACCTGCAGCTGGCCTGTGTCAACTGTCAGGGGCTTGAGTTGTGGGGCTAGAAAACTGTAGTGTAGACATTCAGGCTCAGGCTGGAGGGTCCCAGAGCCCAAACTCCAGCCAGAATGTTTACACTGCAATTGTATATCCCCACAGTCCAAGTCAGCCAACATGGGTCATCCGCCAGTGTTTTATTGCAGAGTAGACATACCCACAGCCAGAGTTAGTACAGAGGCTAACAGTATCAGATGGAGCCAGCGTCACCCTACAGGCACAATATGACCATGTACCACAACACGAATGAGCTGAACTTCCTCAAAAGTTATTTTGATGGCTTAGTTTACAATGTTACAGAGAGAATATTCCTGGAAGACATCTTTAAGGAAAGGTAATGTTACATAGTGACAAGTTAAAAAGGACACTATACTGCAATTAAAAAAAAAAAAAAAAAAGTCAAATCAACTCTACCTCAAGTTTCTCTTGTTCAGCTATGAACTCTTCTATTGGAACATAGTTGTCTTCGACTTGTTCCATTGCACACATATATGCATGTTTCTTTATAGCTTCCTTATACATTTCAAATTTATTCTCCAATTCATCTTCATAACTTTCTCTCATATCTTCCAGGCGTTTACTGAAATTGATAAATCAAGTTAGCTTGAGTGTTACAATTTACAGAATTTTCCAAGACTCAAAGTATTAATATTAAAACCTAGAAAGAGTTGGTCAAAGATTAAAGTAAATAAAAATCACAAGGTTAAGTGGGAGACTAGCAGAAAAAGAAAGTTCTACTTTTTATGTTTGCAGTAATTTCACTTAGTCCTTTAGACAAGTGTTTCTCAACCAGTGGTACAAGTACATTTAGGGGTACTCAAGAGAAATCTGGGAGGAACATCAACAACTGAAATTTGGAGAAAACTGAATTTGTGTTTTAAGTTTTACAGCGCTTTATTATTTTTGTACTTTTTATACCCAAAAATTTCATTGCCTGCCCGGCTACAATTAAGTTGTTTAAACAAATGCGTAGCAATGGTAGAATAAAATTGTGTCTGAAAACTGTAGGTACTTGGGGTACTTATAATTGTTTTTAAAAAGGGGGTACTTTATTTTTTAAAAAGTTGAGACTCGCTGTTTTAGCTCATAGTCTTAGAGTCTATTTTTCAGGGTCAGAAAAATATTTAGTTCTAGTTAATCTATTGTATTAATTTACAATAGTCTAAATAGGAGAAATCAGAAAGCCAAAAATTGTTTTGATTTTTGCTTCTTTATATTA